TTAAAACTTGGTAAATAGTTGGAACACGTAAATCATAATCAAGATGACTTACTGTTCAAATATATGTTCGGCAACGGCCGCGTCCACAGCCGATAACGGGTCGTCCATAAGGCATATGTCGGCGTTTCTGTACAAAGATCTGTGCCAAAGGTATTGCGTATTATAAGTCTACTGTACTTTTAATTAACAATAGTTATTTTAAAAATATACTAATTCTAGTCACCTTGCTAACGTTATTCTGGCCTTTTGACCACCACTGAGTGAAACACCCTTTTCGCCCACTAGTGTCCGATCGCCGAACGGGAATATCTTTAAGTCCCGCTCGAGTGCTGCCACTCGTACCACATCTTTATATCTGCTTTCGTCGTATTCTCGGCCAAACAATATGTTATTTCGGACACTATTGTTGAAACTCCAGGGCTCTTGTGCTGAGTAACTAACGGTGCCGTTCATATGAATAGACCCACTCAATAGCTCAAGTTCCCTGAGCAGTGCCATTAACAATGAGCTCTAGTTTAATTAAGTAATTAATTTGTAATAATTTATGTAAAATCAAATTTGCTAATAAGGGAATCAGTGTAATTACTTTGCCTGATCCAACAGGACCAATTACTACTAACAAATCACCAGGTTTTAGATGTAGAGAGATATTGTCTAGTGTTAGCTTTTTAACGTCCTAATTCAAGTAAGTAGAAAATATAATTTAAAATTATATATAAAATATGAGCTTTATATATTTATATTTGTTTATGTATTTAATTAAACATGCCTGGTTCCATTTAGCGGTAATATTATTTACGTCAACATTAATTGACCCTGTATAGTTATTATTAATGTTGTCAAGTTCTGGGCTATTTTTGTAACCATTGTTACCGTTATTCATATATGGATTTTTATTTTTATATTCACTGTTGACAAAGTCTGTAGGCATCGGCTTTTTTTCATCAAGCTCAAGAAAATCCTAAAAATATTAAAAATATAAATAAAATATTTCAAATTACAATTAGACTATAACAATTAAGTTAAATGAAGCACCTGTATTCTACGACAAGTGACCAGGAGCTCAGCCCCCTGGGCTATACCCTGGGGAAATATCCATGTTAATGTAATTCGGAGCATATTGAACAGGGCCATTGTGACAAACACACTCTTGGAGCTGAGAACGTGACCTAATAGTACGTACGTCAGGAAACAGAAAAACAATATGATCTTGGTGGCAATCAGGAATAGTGACAGATTGATCGCTTTTAAGTAACACACTTTGCGTATATCATTCACTTCCAACCTAGGTCAATCAAATATGTTTATCATATATGGTAACATACTGTAGGGCATTTTAATTAATTATTTTAATTAAGAAAATAATAACAGTTAGATCTTAAACATGGTATGTTTAAAATGTATATTAACTTCCTAGCTTTGGCCACCAAGTCCGAAAATGACTGCTCCCATGTGTACATCTTGATCACCCTCATACCAGAAATAATCTCGTTCATTAGCCGTAATCGGGCATCCGTTAATTTTGCAGTTTTTTGTCTAGATACAATTACATATTGATTTAATTTCATGACCCTGTTTATTATTATTTCTATTTGTATTATCATTACCTGAAGCGCGAAAATAATTTACCCATGATCAACTGGAATGGTATGTATAGCACAAACAAGCCCAGTCCCACCACCGTTGAAATACCCAAACAAAATGTCCATGTTATATAAATCACTAGTACGGCTTGTATGGGCGCCACAATCACGCATGTCATTGAAATTGCAAACTATAATCAAAAGTAAACATGTAGCAAATACGTTATTCCCAAAATATTTCTTATATTCACCATGTTTGGTATTGACTAACCTCATCAAACCGGTTAACATCGTTGGACATAATATTGATTATTTGGCCGACAGTGGTCTTTGCTAGCGATAATTGGCTCAGTTTTAAACACTTTCATTTTAAAATATGGTAAATAATTAATTAGTTGTATTTGCAATAATGTTTTTATTATGGAAGTTACTATAAATATAAACTTATTAATGTACTACAGTGTTAGTAATACTGTACTATATTTTCATTGACAAGTTGCTTATTTTTGTACAACATATTGCACTTAATATGACATATAAATTAATCTAATATGCTTATTAATTCACAATACATGTATTTAGCATAAAGATCACATTTGTTTGTGACAAAGATCATTACCAAACAACACATAAATTTTTTAAAAATAATTAAAATGACCTATGTACTTTTAACGATTGATTATTAAATAAGCGCTCATACCTTTTGATACATAAGAGTAGTGCACGCGTTACGCAATCTCATGCCCACCTGTAGGTTACGCATTAGGCACGGGTGGTGTAGTGTGATGTACAGGGCTGAGCAAACTACAATACCACCTGCAGCCATACAGGCATGTTGGTAGCTCATGTGGTTGGCTCCTCTAAAATAGTCAAGCACAAAGCCCAGAAGTAGGGGTTGACCAATTCGCACTATACATTCCTGTATGGTAGAATTTAAAAAAATTAATTTATTATTAACCACAATTTAGCCATGAATAATGAGGTTTATAGAATTGTTCGGCTACCCCGGTGTGATCCTTGTTTCTAATTAAATTAAATTTATATCTTCTTGCTTAATTTGGGTTATACTTTTTTAAATATCAATTTCTTACCCCGGTGCCAAAAATAGTGACCGGGATTATAAACTGTAGGCCAAAAGTCTTAAGCAACGCCCACCAGAATTTAGGATTACGCTTACGGCGTTCAATGT